AATTTCGGCAAATGGGCAACTACGTACCGTATTGATTTGATAACTTCGAAGTGTTTGACAAAAGCTGGCTTTCCCACATGTACTTAACAGTGCTATGCCCGGGTGTGATATACAACAATAGTATTTACCTTACCTTTTTCCGATTTCTTTTTACCTTCAATTTTCCAAAATATCATTAAAATCGACTGTCAAAACAGGCACGAACACCATTTGTGCCACTGCTATGCCTTGAAAGCAGCACACATCCGCTCGTTTTCGTCTCGTCAAGTATGTGCATTGGAGCGTGCTATCGGATACGATCTTCGGCCAAAAATGCCGGAGTTGCGCATCATGTTGTTTAATGTCATTGGTATAATATAACAAGGGTGCGCATTAGCGGCGCTAGACGTTTGCGATTTTGTTCCGAATTGAAGGTCGCGGCGGCCATCTTGGTACGCGCGGCTTTCTGCTTGCGGATGCAGTGAGTGGGTTGGATTTGCCAAGGTAAAGTATGAGAAGAATTTTCAGGGGGTCAAAGGTCCATTGAGGTGTATACTGTATATAACTAGAGTGCGAATTAGCGGCGCTAGACGTTTGCGATTTTGCGCCGAATTGAAGGTCGCGGTGGCCATCTTGGTACGCGCGACTTTCTGCTTGCGGGTGCAGTGAGTGGGTTGGATTTGCCGTGTCAACGGTGCAAAATGTAAGATAATTTGAGGAAATTCATCGTTCTGCACGTTGTAATGGATTTTCACGCTTTTTGGTGGTTTAGTCATCAGCAGGAGTACGGAAACTTGACTGTAATCACATATATCTTAATCTTCGTGCTAGCTGCTGTGTTTCTTCAATTGTTTTCGTATTCCATGAGTCCTATTGTCCATCTTGTTGTTATTATTTTGGCTGCACTACTTTGCGTATACATTTGCTCTAATTTTTTGAATACCTCTTCAAGTAGTGTTGTTGCATCTTGACATTCAGTTACATTGTTTAATAGGTATCCGCTCATGAATGATTTAGAAATATTTTTCTTTTATATCAAGTGTCGGATGTTCAATGATGTGATGATGGAAATAAATTTCAGCTGCTTGCAAGTATTGAGCGAGCCTTGTGTTTCTGGGTTGCAACTAACAGAAATTGCTGCTTTACCTATGGATTCCAGGTTGTTGTCACATTCACAAAAGCTGCAGTGCGCAAATCACTGGCCCTTTGTTTCGTTTGACGCCGTTGAATTCTTTCTCATAATCATCACGGCAAATGTTTTCAAGTTTACTCATATTATCTCTCATGAAGTTCCAGATCTAAACTGAATTCAAAGTTTAATTTACCGGTATATTCATTCATAAGGTTAAAAATAAGGACACACGTCAAAATAAGAATGTTTCTTAGAATAAGGACAAAAATATTTCCTAAAACAATGACCTTCAAAACAAGAGGGCTGTGCTCAAATATATGGACACGTCACAAGGTGTCGCTATTTTTTATTCTGACACATAAAAAACGAATCTCTTGAATTCCACAGAATTTTTTGAAATAAGTAAAAGTAATAGCCTCCGTTTTTTTTTATATAAAGTGAAAAGTATTCATTTTCGTCACCACTTTACCTACATCTGACTGACATTTTTTGCAATGCATCGCATTTTTGATGCCTTGCTTTCTTTCGACAAGGAAGTTGTTGCATCATCCTGGTCATTTGCAGGACAGACTGTGTCTTCATTTTCACAATTATTTGTTCATTTTTATCAAATTCTCCACGTCCTTCAGCAAATATTTCGATCAGTCATCAATGAACAGGGCGAGTTTGCGAGCTGTGAAGCAGGAGCGTCGTCGTCGTTAAGCAGCTTGTCAGAACCAAACCGACCGTGACGCCCGCCACATGGAGGTGCAACATCGCCTTTCCTTGTTTATTATACGGCGAGCGGAGTTGGACATCGAGTTGTAGTATATATTTACGGTCAAACGCATGACACGACATGTCAAACGCATGGCACGTGGGTTTAATGACAAAGATTCAGCAGTGAAGATAAAAAAAATAACAATTGTTAAAATTATTATATCTGAGCCATCAGTGAGTCGGACAATTTCTCTATACGGTCTCGTTTAGTAATGAAATATTTTTAGATTAAAGTCCTTTTGAAATAAAGTCTCATCATCGTCCAAGTTATCCGATGTTCAATATGTTAAGGCGGGATGGTTAAAACAGAATACTTGACTATTCAGAATACGTTATTAAAGAATATTTCTGAACGGGGAATTATAGCATATTTGAATTAATTTAACTAACTTTAGTTAACAGTTGGACATGTTTTGACTTGAAATTATTCTAATTTGACTGCTGAATTAAAATTAGAAATAAACTTGAGTCATATGAGTTAAACGAATTATTGTTCCGACTATACAATGACATACCGAGTCATGCCCTCGCCAAACCTGAATAGGCTGACCAATTAACATTGGTTCGTAGAGGGAAAGAAGAAGAATCTAAGACGCGGTAAAACAACGACTAGACATGCGTACAATGTAGCTTTGATTCTGTCCGGCTTTCAGCCTGTTTTGATCTGTTCCCATTGCATTCGCGAATATTCACGATATCAATATATTTCTTCGGAAACGATGTAAGCAGTGTCGCTGTAAGATCAGAAAATTCAACTCGGTTCTGCCTCTCTCTGGCTTTCGTATCCATATATGTGAGCGTCGCTGTCATCTTTATCTAAGTAACAACAAATCTAAGAATTATTATATTTTTTATTTCTGAACATTCTTGTCATAGAACCGTACTTTACAAAAAATGAAAGGATAATTTTATCTATCAATAGTGTTTTGTCTATCAGTATTATCACGCCCTTTCATCCATCGCTACTATAAACGGGTATAATGAGTATGAGTTTGTTAAAGTGTTCTTAAATTCAACTTAGCATCCAATCTACTTGGGTGGTTAGCATACATGCCTTACTTCTAACTAAAATTTCGAATTTCACGCAATTCAACATTTTATTTATGACGCCGTGTCACCTTCATCATATTTTTAAATAAATATTCATTTATCATTTTATGAAGATTTAGTGAGGAATAAGGCATGATTTTAAGCTGTGATAAGATATAGACAACATGGAACTTTATTTTTCCAGCTATAGCGAAACCTGATTTTGAATGTCATTTCCACACTTTTAATTATTGCCGGCAATCTTTGTTGAAGTACAACGTAATTGATCAGTCAAGCAGTCACTTTGACAATATTCAGGAGAAAAGAAAGATTTAAAGAGAAATTAAAGAGAGAAGATTTGAACAAATAGTTTTTTTTTTCATAGTAAGGGAAAGTGGGGAAGGTTTGGACCCTTCTTTCTTTTGCATCTTTTGAGCCCTATATGCATATTCATTTGACATTAAGAAGGGAGTACATGTAGTTTTTATTCAGCGACTAAGAAAAGGCGTTAAAATTAACAAAAAAATGTGGGACTTCAAATTTGGAGATTATTTTTTAAATCAAATTTCAACCAAAAAATTCCAGATCTCTTTCTTAATTTTTCCAATTCCTAAAATAAATTTTCCGCATTGACAACCAAAAATCACATTGGCGACATGCGTATCTAAAGATTCTGCCATTGTAAACTCGTTGAATATTTTTATACTTAAATCTAGAATTTATTATTTTACTTTTGGATTATGTCTAATTTCGTTCAATTGAAAATAAGTTCTGAAACTTCCAAAACGAAAGTGTTGGGGGGGGGGGGGGTTTGAAATTTTAGGGGGGGTGTTCACCCCCTATAGGGGGGGTGTGGGGAAATCACTGCTCACCGGTGTTGTGAATATTTCACATAGGCCAAAGCTGAAAATACAAGACAGTGTTTTGTTCTGTTGAAAAGGCAAAAGTTGAATGAAGAAAAGATTGAGATGTCGAAATTTTAGTTTCAACATGCCAAAACGGATTCCATTTCATAGTTGAGTAGCTATGCACGGCCACTGCCAGTTTGTAGTAACGGCGTACCTCACCAAAATACGGCGTCAAACACCAAAACGCAATCCTGATTCCGAATAGACTACAGTATGAGAGCTGATTTCCCACTATGTCCCATGTATCACGTACCCTAATAGGTTGGACTAAGAAAATCACTTTGCTGCTCCTCTAACCCGCTTTTTAGTGACAGTAGCTTGATTTTCCGCTTGCCATCGATTTTTTCATAATTTGACTGCGTGTGAGCTCGATATTTGTTTTCAAATTATAAGACTTGGAACTCGTGGAAGATTTATGAAATATTAAGCAAGCGGCCCCATCTTTTACTTGACTAACAATACAAATATTTTCAAATGTTTTAGGACTGCCGAATTTCATCGTCAAACGTCCTCTCTTGTCGGCCCAGACATAACAGAGCGAAACCTGTTTCTGTCACATCAAGCTTATAACACGCTTCTGGTTGCGTGATTTTGATGTAACATTGCGTCGCGATAGTACGCCACACAAGATGATTTCAATCTGAAATATACTCAGCCTAGGGTTCACTCTTAAATTTTATTGTAAACAGCTGTTTGAGATTTCGTGGGCCACATGCTTTGTACATCGCTGTTTTTAACAAAGGCAATATTTGAAGAAAAGAACCTGAAGTTAAACTTGATTAAAGAGGCGACGTGGTGTGGGATTCCTACGCCACTTTCCTTTCTGCACGAGGTTAATTTTCATTTGTAGGAATATTTATTAAAGATTTTGCTAACAAGTAGCAATATTTAGTTGGTCAACATGGACTAATATTCAGTTTAGACTCCAGTTTTGCGGGACTAAGTGGCAGGATAGTCAACAGGTTATCCAGTCTGGATTCCTTTCATTTCGATACGCACACATTCTTAGCTAGACCTACGCGTTTCGCCGTTTGTTTGCAAATGAAGATAAAGCGTTTTATCTGCGATAGTGATTAATTGCACATGAATTAAACAGGATGTTGTGTTCACACAAGACGCATCTTATCTAATCACCAATGATGTAATAATCGATGTATAATCACCGGCAATATATAATTAAAGAAGCATAGATGTTTGGAATCTACTCGAAATGTATATTTTGTGGTATAAATTTAACTGTCTCATACTTGACGAATTTCTTGGCCTAACCATATCTCTTGTTAAGTTCAATAGAAATTTCATAAGTATTAATGGATTTGTTTCAGACCACTTACTGAAGTCGGTTGTCGACGTTTTGTTTTGTCATTCTCCAAAAGCCTTGAACGTACGTCTCAAACTTCGTGCCAAATTCCCTTCCGGCAAACTCATATAAAACCAACGAACAATTGCATGTACCCAATAGCCTGACGTCACATCTGCCTTACCCAGAGTTTTCATCATATGTCGGGCAAACGTAGCAGCATTCGGCACCGCCAAATTTGCATTTTTTATGACTACTTTTGTTAAATTTGTGAATACAAATCCCGGTTGAATACTTTGAATCACGATTCCATGTTTGCGATACTCGTTTGCGAGTCCAATGCTTAGGGTATCGTCAAAACGTTTCGATGCCGCATAAGTTGAAACAATGGGATGAGGGTGAGACGCCGACATTGACGAGATGTTGACAACCAATCCTCGCTTGCGTGCCACCATACCAGGAAGGATAATTTCTGTCATTTTAGCCCTGGAGGACGCGTTGCAATGAATTTGATTGTTTGATGCTATGGAAAGAGTTTGATTAGGTCCATGTGATAGATGAAACTCCTTTACATCTCCCGCTGGCATTCCAACATTATTTACAAGTATTCCAACATCAAGATTTTGAACAGCTTGTGATATGGAGTCATATGGAGAAACACTGTTGATGGTGTCAAACCGAATGAAGTTGAACTTCAAAAACTTAGTTTCAACATTATATAATTCCTCAATTTCTCTGGCCACATTTTTCAATTTTTCTTGATTTTTACTTATCAGAAAAATATTGATTCCCCGATGGGCAAGTTGATCTGCGATTGCTCTACCGATTCCATCAGTTGCGCCTGTAACAACTGCCCATCTGCCAAGTTTCTTAAAATTTATTGGCGAATCTGTAACATACGTTACCAGAAACGTGTATAGTCCATAGCAACTTTTAACAGTTAAGTACAGCAAAGAAAAGTATCCAAATGCATACAGGCACCAACTTTTGTTATTAACCATGGATTCATAATTTACATACATAACGATAATATATAATACTCAGCTATGCATGCCAAAACAAATGACAGTCGTCAATTGCAAATAAAATTTCATTTGTATAAATTGGGCCTGTTACATATCATATTTTTCAAGCTAAGAGGAAAGTTTATACGAGTATCAGGAAAACCACATGTGTTCATAGAAAGTAAAGTGATTTTCTCACATCTGTTTGACTTCCACTAGAGTTTGTTAAACCGCGGTGAATGCGCTAGGATGGTTTCAGCAGTAACTGTACCATAACGCTATGAAAGTGTAATTGTGGGTTTGTTTCAGAACAAAACGTGTTGTGGATTCGGGCGTCCAACGTTAACGTTGTCCGCTCAATTTTAAACATGTACATTAACACGAGACATTTAGTTTCGACCAATAATACATATGCCTTTTAATGGAAAGAAGCGCCTAGAATGTATTGAACTATAATGCATGTACTACAATCGAATTGATTAATAATTGCTGCAGCTTAATTTGTTTTAAATCGATCAACGTTTGAAATCACTGCGGTTAGGAAGATATATAGTTAGTCAGTGATAGAATTTTTGTTAGTATGTGGTCATGCTGGTTAGCAATAGAAGACTCGTGTTATATTCCTGTAGTGGGCCTTACAACAAATACCTTCAACAACAGCTGCCTTCTTATAAGCCCGTCTAACCCCTTCATTGCGACGAGGCTTCAATTGATCGACGCCCCAAAAATTCAACTAAACAGAGCATAAGAGAATAAGATAAAGATCTGCCCAAAATCCCAGGCGTTATTCGCGACTCTGGCAACTTTCTATAGCTAACATTCGACCGCTTACTATTTTTTGTAAAGGATAGCTGATATTAAACGATTGCATGCCTCGTTACACTATTACTCTAACGACGCAGTTAGGAAACGCATTATTGATTAAACGCGATCTCAGCCTGCGAGGCTCACACACGCGACGTTGCAGTGACCTCGATTGCCCTCTTGAGAGAATTTGAGAAAAATCATGAGGGGCCATGATGCGAAATCTCACCTGCGGCAATGACGCACTCCAAGATATCACAGGATTGTAAACATTTTACAGAATGGCTAAACTAAAATGACATCACGTTCATAACAAGTTACGTTTAGGGATGGCCACATGGTCCTAATCGTCATTAAATTGCTTTCTCCATGGAAAAAATAACGTGTTTCCTCGAAAATAAGACAGTGTCTTATTTCAATTTCCCTTTGAAAAATAAAACTAGGGCTTATTAAGAGAGGATATTTTTTATTTTCATTTATCAAAAACAAAATTACAAAGAAGAGAATTACGAAATTTTCAACTCTACAAAATATGAAAACCGATATCTATTTACTTATAAATAACACTTTTTCATTTAAAAAAACGCTAAACATAGTTTATTAATCCCTTAAAACGAGTAGTAAATATTTATTGCTATTGATTAAGAAAAAAAAAGTTAGCGCTATCGACGACGTCTTATATTAAAATCAATTTTGAAATTCACGTCAGGTCATATTTTCAGGGAAACACGGTATTTGACAGCAGGTTCGATTTTTAGGTTAGCTGCACAAGACTTGTACTGTCAATCAACTACATTGTTCATGTGAATACTTGCTTTTGCTATTCTTTTTGGCCGAAAGGAAAAACACTTGAATGTAATGTGATTTGAAGCATGTTCTGCAGTTTTCATAGGAAGGTTTTTCTGTGCTCCCGAGTCCCGTAGTATGTAAACTAAGATGGCGACGCCCGAACGTAGTATGTGTACCAGACAGTGGCGTGGCAATATACCGCCCTTGAATTTTTGCCCGAAATGCCGCCATCTCAACACCGTTGTAAAAGCTGATTAAAGAATTAAAGCAGTGTTTGTAATTTTTATTGAAAGTTCCAAGTTAAATACGTCTTTCATTGAAGCAAATTCAGAAAGTATATCGTCAAAAGATAATGTTGATCCATTGGGAAAGACACTTAACAGAATTCGTCCAACTTCATCTACAACATGAAGATGGAGAAATCCCACCTCACGGCCCCTTCCTGTCTCCTCGCGAAAGTGAAATGAACTGGAAACTGATCTAAACTCAACTACCAAAGCTAAATTGAGAGAACACTGCAATAATAGCTTACATTCCAGTAAGACTTCAACAGCATGAATATCATTATGTTATTAAAGATACCACATAGTGAGTCACAATCTAAAAAAAGTTGCAAATTAGTTTAGAAGAGGCTTAACTTGTGTTATTTTTTGGCTTCACTTAGATCAGTGTTAACTTAGGTCGTTCAAGTCTGGGTATCATTATCAATCATTTTATTGTTGTTCTGATTATGCAGTCGAAAAAAACTTATACTTACCGGTATATCTTTGAGAATAAATAAATGTGACTGTTTTTGTTCGTTTAAAATGTACTGCCGCTTCGTTTTACACCCTTTTCCACATTTTGCCGCCCGCAGCAACGTGCCGCCCCTGGATTTATCCACAAGATCCAATGGGTTAGGGTTAGTTAGACCATAACTTTGTTTCAATTTTCTTTATTTTAGTTCTATTACAAGTTCGGGGACTAGCCATGTGACTCCCGTAGTATTTCTAGGCCTACCTGAAATTATGGCCTAACCCCCAACCTGGTAGCGTAGCTACCCATTGGATCTTATTCCGATGTCCGCCTTTTTGGTTCACTTAGCCTACGACGGGTGTACCTGTATGTTGATAAGTATTTGTCTGTTGGATGCACGCGATATCTCACGAAAGCAAGATTGAATCTGCTCCAAATTTTGCATGTGCATTCATCATATGTCGGACCAGGAGCCTATTGATAAGTCTTCGGTCTCTGACCGATATTCTCGTTTAATTAAGTGTTATGATTGAGGTTGCGAAAAAAAGTTTACAATATAAACTATGGTTTTATTAGCTGTTAAGTGTGTATTGATTTTTATTTTACTATTTATTACTTATCGATTTTAATCGGTAAGTATGTTGATAGGTATTTGTCTGTCTGTTTGTTTGTCTGTCTGTTAGATGCACGCGATATCTCACGAAAGCGAGATTGAATCTGCTCCAGATTTTGCATGTGCATTCATCATATGTCGTACCAGAAGCCTATTGATTTTGGATGAATTATGTCGTATAATTAGCGAGTTATTAATTAATTAGTGATGGGACACAAGGTGTCACTATGGAGTAAGAGCGCTGTTTGGGGATCCCTAACTTTCGATCGATAAGTCTTCGGTCTCTGACCAATATTCTCGTTTTTTCTTTGTAACTATTTTTTTTTCTTTGTAAAAAAAAATATATACGATACAATGCGTGAATTTCGATTTGAGTCTACAATCTGCACAATCATGATGCTGCACTTAAACGAATGCGTGAGCATACGTCGTTGACGACTCGTAGTAGTAATCAATCTTAAACTAACTTCAGTTACGGGTAGTTAAAGCACGATTATCAAGGACTGTCATATAAAGTTAGGAAATCATTGATAGGAGATTTACAAGTGACTGGTGATCCATCAGAATGACACAGGTTATTATTCTGACGCAAGGCTGTGAACGCTTCATATCTATACTCAACATCTCTAGACAGAATAGTACTTCCATTTTAACAAAAATCTTGGAGTTTTAGCTCCGGGCATATGATTTGCTAATCGCAATAGTGAGTGACACGAGCACTATAGCAAGAAGCAATGCATAGAAGATGAGATGAGCGGACCGTTATACAGTGCAGTCAAATTATGTTGAATGGACAAGCTTAGTAGGCTATTATATAAAAATCCAATTTTGAACCAACCAACCACTGTTTGAATTTGACCAACGAGTTTTACAACAACCAGTGCAGCATTAGTCCATATATGACAGCATTACGCAAACTGCGTACAAGAATTAATTTTGACAGCTGAAGTATATATTTGGTGGTTAATACAGGCGATTGTGAGCTGTTTAAAGCTTTCTTGACAGCAGATACAATTTACTTCTTATATATATTTTTGGGTTACCGACTATTGAGTCAAATCCAACGTAACGGTTAATGATTCTGCTATTTCCTGAATTTATTGAGACTTGCCAGTGTTGGTGTTTGCTAGAATTACTAGTCAATCTGAGGAATTGTATAAAATGTGATACATTTATTGCCACATATTTTCTAGTTTACATTTTTATTTAAACAAAAATAAACAGATTTTTTTTTATTTAATACATATATATATATATACAATTTTAGAAAATGTCAAAAAAAGCATGGAGTCGGGATATGCGTACCTTCTTATTTTGTGTGGCTTTTGCAAATGCAGTTTTTCGCTCCAATAGCCAAGAACTGTCGTCTAACACAGTGACACTGACAAGTGAAAAGGGTGCCCATACAGTTGTTAATTTTCAATGTGGGGTTGGTCAACAGGCGGCAACTGAATCCGATGCAGAAAGACAGACCCAGGGTCGACCAGGAAAGAAAGGTCCGATTGGGCCTATGGGTCGAAAAGGAGAAAGAGGTTTTAAAGTAAGACCCTATGTTACAGAATCACCCTCGTACCATTTTTTGAACATTGTACCACATCGCATTTTGTATATCTAGTATGTATTCAGTTCATTTCAACTGGCGATGCAAATGTGATTTTTAATACAGTAGAACCTACGAAACAACAATCTACAAAGAAAGCCATTATTTTCGAAAAAGTAACACTTGGCTTATGCTTGGCGAAAGAACATATTTGTATCAAAGAATGATGTGTTACACATTATCGAATGTGATCAAATTGGAAGACCGACTCTCGGCAATAATATATTTAAATGAGATAGTATAGAATATCTAATATTCACATCTGATAATATATAGTAGCCTATAGCCTGCTGTAAGATTTTATATATACGTTTCTCTGCCTAATTTTTCTGGAGATGGAATACTTTTTCACATTGGACAACGTACTGTTCAAATGAAAATTTTATTAAACATTTTTTCTAAATAGGTCTGTGACATCATCAAATATTGCAATGTTATTATTGAATATTCTTGGTATTCACTGTTCTCAAGTGTTACTTTTGCCTCCAAGCTTATATGTATAAATTATTTGAATATATATATATTAGGAATCAGTTACGGTAATTTCACAGCTTGCTTTTAATCAGATGTGCATGTAATACTCAGTACCTATAGCTTGTCGTTGTAATTTGGAACACTTATTAAGTTATTCATATATTATATTTCAAATGCAAAACATGATGTAATGCATTCAGGGAGAACAAGGTTTGAAAGGAGAACCGGGAAATGACGCAGATTTACAGCGAGTTCGACAGGAAATAGGATCAATGGGTTGGTATCTCACGAAAACAAGTCGTAATTTTCAAACTGTATATCTTATGTTTCTGTAGAATGTCTATCTGAGCCTATCAATAATTTTTGGGTATTTAAATGGATGTTACTTTTGAGTTGTTTGTTGAAGCTCTGCGTACACTTTTCCATGAGTTTTAACATTGGGAAAAAATGATATTGATACATAATAATATATCCGGACGCTTCGAAGTAAATCACGCAATCACTGCCAAGGATAAATCGTAAAAACATCGATAGTTTCATTGCGTATACATGATTGAACATAAGCGTTCTGGGCTCATTACCAGATATGATTCTGGTTTGGCATTTCTCGGAACTTTACTCAAAGTAAACATGAGATATTATTGTATTTTTGTCATAAGAGCGTTATTATGTTTCCCGCGATACAACGATTTGGAAATGTATCTGTTTTCCGGTTTGCAGCTCATGCTTGACTTAATAAAAAAGTTTGACCTGACTAAAAATTGGAGACTTGGGAGGGTTACAGGAAAGTTTTATGATGAATACCAGACATCACATAAAATTTTTCACAGAATGCCATGATGTCATTGTCAGGTTACAGGGCATGCATTATATTCAATATATTTACTGCGAACGACATTAAGTTTCGATTCGTGATGGCAAATCGCATTTTTTAATTGATTGCATTACGTTCACGCGCTGGTGGTGGGTATATTTGATGCTAAAAAATTATAAAATGTTTATTTTTACTGTTTAGCTGTATCGAACTGTGGTGAACTCAAAAAATATGGAATTACAAAAACAGGTTACTATTTGATGAGGGATCCAGAAAGTTCAAATGCATTATATGCATACTGTAATTTTCAGCCAAAAAATGGTAAGATATGAAAATGTACAGATGGAACTGTTTCATTCTTCCTCCATTTAAATTTATCGTCGCATGCACAGCACAATTTACTTTTTAGGCGTTTCCACGTGTGAGCAACTTAAGAACACATTTCATATTACTGAATCAGGATTTTACACTTTCTTGGCAACGAATTCAACCCAAACATTTCAAGTATTCTGCGATTTTTCCAACGTTAAAGGTATATTTCAATTTGCCAGCAAAACGACTATTCAAGGACTGTGTCAAAATTCAAAAGCGTTAGAAAAAATATTTTCAACTTTATTAAAATAAACTGATTTAATAAACCCGATATAAACTGTATAATCTATAATGTATTAAAATGTTGATACGTTTATTCCACTGACGATTTGTTAATGTGACGCGCATATTAAGGATTTTTTGAGAATTTACAATTGTTGCAAATACCTTCCATTAAAAACAGTATAAGGTTGAAACAACTGGAAGTTGGAAGCATCATTTAAATTGTAATTTTGTTATTTAGTTTCATATCAAATTTGTGGATTGTCTGAAAATATTGTTGTTTGTGATTATATCATATATATATGTATATCTTTTTCTCCAGCTGTAACAGAAATCTGGCATGATTCAATGAGAGAGCAAAATACAGAGAAATGCGAAGGAAAGGGCTGCTATTCTGTCACCCCTACGTACAGCATTTCCGCCGAACATATCATTCAAGTCATCGAAAATTCTGTTGAATGTCGGCAGTACATAAAGGTACTCATACACATGTCGATCGTTTTTGTAAAATCGACACAAATTCATATTATTATGTCACAGGTAAGTGTGACTTGAATGGATCAGTTCGAATGTGTTCGCGAATAAGAAAACGTTCTAGTTTTGGTTCGGTAGATAAGAACACATTGGATTTGTTGTATTGATGGGTGACACGGCTAAACCAGTTCATATTGCTTACAATTTTTATTTTTGACGTTTTATTAGTACATGAAAAGCAATCATATAAACATAAGGTAGTGAAATGTTTGTCCCCAAACAAGCTTGCCTACTAAACGTAAGATTCATTCTGCAATGAACAGTCGATGTATGTAAAGAAATAATTGTATATGAAACATGACTTGAAAACTCATTTTTGTTATTGTAAATATTCAATTGTATCATTATGCTGAATCTAGTTTCGATGCCACGGTAGTGTTATCACATTCGGTGCTCCAACCGATCCTTGGGCATGGTGGACATCACGAAATGGTGAAAAAATGCTTTACTGGGGAGGCTCTACCTCAAGAAAAGACGGATATTGTGCATGCGGAGAAACAGGTCAGTAATAATAATAGTATACTACAAAATACAATATTTCAGTTCCAGTTCATCTCATCTAATAAATTGTTACAGAATAGTTTGATTGCAAAGTTATTATATTCAGGCACGTGCGTCAACAACAGATATAAATGTAATTGTGATAACAACGGTAACGTGATGACCAGAGATGAAGGATACTTGACGGATATGGCAAAATTGCCCGTCAGTAAAATGTCTTTCGGCGATGCAGGAGATCCTTCTGAATACGGTTGGCACACATTGGGAAAGCTGGAATGCATGTAGTAACAATTATATATCTACTTTACCGGTTACTGTAAATTCATCACACACAAAGACGGCATAAACACTCGGGCTTGGGCATTACTGCGTAGGCTTGCGGTTATGATTTAACCCCAGGGTTCCATGGAATAAGGCCATCGTTTTCTTAACTACCGACCAATTCAATTTCCTCTATTTAGTCTACTGGAGCATCCTACACTCCTATCTTCGTCTATAAATAAAATATACTTTCGAAAATAAAATATATACTTTTAATAAAATTTCACTGAAATCACTCATACTCGCTTTAGCTGTGGCTGGTTTACCGCTGTTAATTTCGACATGTTCACCTGCCAAGTTTTTTGTCAAACTTATTTCACACCTGCGTTTGCTTTTGTTTATTTTCTATATTTCCTTCTACTTGTCCTTTTTTGTAACAATTCGTTTGCACAGAACACAATGTATTATAGCGTATAGAAGCATATCATGCATATATATAAACGATCCTGTGTAAATGGGCTACAGCGAAAAACACACAAATACAAGGCATTATGATCCAAAGTGTTCAGGTTGATTTTTGCTTTACAACTATTACAAAAGCTGTGATCAAAAAAACTAATTGAATAAGTTCAACTACCAACGCGTATGTCCGATATATTGATGAAAGAGAATTGGCAAGCATATTGAAATATGATCTTCAGAGTTACCTTATACGCTTATAGCTTGAATAGAAATTGGTGAAACATCGCGATTGGCTAATTTTGTTAATCTTTTGCGATTACAATGAGTTTTTATAAATATATCGTTGTTATGCAGAATTAAAAATGCGATATTGTTGGTTGGAGACGCTCTATTGTTGGGGAGTGAGTACTGAGTAGACATGATTTGACGCACTGTTTTGCATAATTTCATAATGCATCGTAAATGGGCAATTCAATTGCTGGATTGAATACGATAGGCGGTGCTAGTCCAAACACTGGTCAGCATTTAGCATTAGAAGATCCGTTTGGCCTCATTTTTTCACAAAATCAAACTACTCGGAGCCGCAACATCTACTCTCATGTCTATCAAAAATCACAGTTACCCGTAAAACACTTCAGTGCGTTCGTTTCATTATATATATATATATCGATAGAAAGAGTAAACTACTTTGGCTGGGAAACGAAACTTGTCTGTTAGTGATCTGACATAAACATGCACAAAGTCTTTTAACGATTTATTTCACTCAGTCAATGTGATTTCCCCTGAACTTCTCTGCACAGTTTAGAGATAAGAGAAACACACTCCCGTTTCAAAATAACAAACTAGTAATTATCCAGTTGGATTCAAGATTAGGAATGATTCGAAAATTTGAATTTCCAGCGCCATCTGCATTCCTAACCCAAACCCCGACTGGATAATACCAAATCTTAACTTAGCAATAATTGGAATGGTTAAAGCTGGTAACAGTATCGATTTGTGGCAGCAATGCCTGTTAATAAAACACTGGGAAAAGTACTTATGATGCAACAATCTAGTTCTTACTAAGAAGAAGCTAAATGAAAGAGGAAAGATGCAATAATACACTCTGGGACGAATTGAAAAGAACTTGAAAAAATGAGAAGATAAAGTCCGCTTTGACAGACTTGAACCACCTTGATGTGACCGTTTTATCGCTTGCTACTTATACTTTGGGAACCGCAGTGAAATGTAATTATTGAAGAGTATGCTATTTGGCTTCATGCCTCCACTTTCATTGAATACCAATGCTTCTAACAAAAACTGATGTAGCAATTTTGATTGACCCGGTCCAGAGCTCCAAGAAGGAGTTTTGAAATTTGAAAACTATCCAATCCCACTATGAGAATTTAAAATGTCATTAATTTTGCTCAACGTATCTCGCGGTTACGTCGTTTTACGACAAAATATAAGCATTACCACCAAGGCAATCCCAAGACATGGAAGAGTGAGATAAACTGCCGGATAATATTTAATTTTGATACGTAGTTTTGTTATCTAGCGAATTTGTCATTGCTATTAGAAAATCCCAATATCTGCAATAAAGTACAATTTAATTTAGCATAATAAAGATGAATACAAATTATATATTGGTAGATCAATAATACATATTCATTGCTCGAAATCTCAGCGGCTTGGAAACAGTCGTCGCGATTAAGCAAGCTACTCGTTGAAAAATCCTATTTTTTTAAGAAATAACAATTTTTCTGTTGCGCAAAGTAAGCAATCTATAACCGATACTGGTATATTTAAAATGTCTTGTTTTATTAATTAGACTGTGTTCAATCCAACCAGCGATTGCATAGACAAAATAAAATCATTATTCATCACTACATAAAAATATCATGGCAATCTCTGGACATAAAAATGTGTGGTAAAGTACCCGATTATATCTAGTTTTAGCAACTGTGTTTAAATAGATTACAGTGACGGTATGACCTCCAAAGTCAACCAGTAAATAATATGTGCAGTAGGCTTACAAAATTATGAGATATACAATGTCTGAACAGGCATTTTTAATCTGTTGCGTGTCTCCTACAACAAAGCTTATGGTGTTTTTCGTTTTATTGTAGTATTTTATAATGTGGAAAATTTGGCAGGCGAATTCACTCCTTCATTTATCTTCAACATCTCATTGCCGATGATTATATAATAACCTTCAATGGGTTCACAGTTACGTGCAAGAACAAAATAGAAATTATCATAACACCGACTCAAAGATTACATACTAAATGACACGCTACACGTATGAAAACAATTGGCATAATGCAAAAGCATGCATTATTTGCAACTTCGACCATGAACCCCCCCTAGCATAAAAAAAAACTAGCACCTGGTATCACATGTTGAAAATTATTCGTCGGAAAATTAAGTTGATAGCTGGCGTAAAACGGGATATATTTAGCGATCATCGAATTTGTTTGTCTGTTCCTGTGTTTATATTAAGAAGTTTCTGTTTCTTTAGGCTATCATAACATCCAATTTCTACGATGCACATCGCATTAAAAGTATGTTTGCATTGGAATAGGTACTTTATTCTTTATCTGATTTAGAGAATACCTATTATAGAAAATGTATTGTTATGTTTTGCGGTGTGTAATATAAAGGCAAACTGAAGCGGTCCAGTCCTTAGTTAATCTTTTTTTCTGTAATTGCCCGATCTTCACTTTCAACAGTGAACACAAAGTATTGGACTTCACTCAAATGATTAATTTGATTTGATTGACTCAATTTGACATTATTACAAATATTATTATTAAGCCATGCGATGTTTTCTATCAACGCTCAGACGCTTCGCCGAGCAATAACAAAAGATAGCTTGTTCATTGTAGCGTGACCAAACGGCTTAAATTTCCTGGTTTAATCAATGTTTTCTGACAACGCTCAGACGCGTCGAAATATTTCTGTTCGTTTTGGTTGTGCACGGCTTGTATTTTTGGTTTGAACTGAAGTCGAAACGTTGTGATAATTTCGTTCTATATTTGACTGATGGCTGATTACGGTATGAAGTGGTATAGGCGTTGTAAGGTTATTCTAAATAGAACCTGAGGAAGTGGGAATTTGAATTCGAAATTCTCAGCTGAAAGTCGCAATGCAGTATCATTAGTCTGTTGGCGTTGTTCGCGGCATTACCGCTGTGTTAGACCACTTCGTCGAGTACTCCACGATGAAAATTCAGCTTCAACCGAAAAAATATAGCGATTAAACGACAATACTGCATTTAATTTGAGTAAAGAAAGACATTCGTATATGTTGCATAGATGTTATAGTTATATTGGCATTGTCAATATTGAGAGTTGTGTCAAAGCAATATGGCGTCACACGACAATTCCAAAAAAAGATAGACCTATAAATATCCTTCTCCAAGAGTAAGTCTGTCGTTAAAACGTATTCCTTGTGGTTGTTTCAGTTTGTTGCTATTTAGACTTTGGTTGTTGATTAGTCTGATTGCATGCTACTTAGTTCTTCTTGAACAGACAGACACTACTGCCGGGTACGCAGGTTTTCGAATAAATTTATTGATTGTCAAATACAAAATGAACAATTTAAAACGGACTGACAGTCTAGACCTGGCATGGGCAAACTACGGCCCGCGGGCCAAATCAGGATCGTTGGGTAATTCAATCTGACCCGCCTGATGTTGCCACAAACAAGCCAAAACCAAATGTTGATATTTTAGCTAACAAAATAGCTCAAGGTAGGCCACAAACCTATTTAAAATTGAGTTATTGAAATATTCAGTTTCATTTGTGTCACTTTAGTTAAATTTTGATTGTAGTGGCAATGAATGATAATACTGTTTTTTGTTACTGAGGGGTAATTTTAATTCTAATCATTAAAGTGAAAGTGTTTATTTTTGCGGGCATAGTTTTTGTGCTTGTCTTGTAGTTTTCCCCTTGCACGAATAAGTGAATGGGCCACAGAATCTTTGTGCAATAAGAATGGGCCACGGAGGAAGAAAGGTTAGACTCAGACAAAATCAAGGTTACACTGCACGCACACACAACCATCAACTAAAGTTGGTTGAATTAGCTACTGTATGTTTTAGGACCACGTTCAATGTCATTTCGGCGGAAAAGATTGATTAACATATGTAATCAATCATTCCTTATTTGTTTACTTCAAATGAAACGAAGATTATTTCATGTCACAAAAGAGCAACATTGTATTGGTTTATACTAAATTTAGTACTGCTTTGTAGCCAACATTTGTAGCCGTTATCTAAAATAACATTACGCATAATATAAAAGTAGGGAATTAATCTGAAGTTTTCTAAAAATAAGTTATAAAAATATATGCTGTTATGTTAAACTTTGATATGAACTTCGGTTTTCAAGTAAAATTCTTCAAAAAAAAACAATGCGAGTTGGTTATAGCAATTCATTTTCTAAAGATCAATTTAATATAATAAGCATGTCATGGTTTGTAATAAAAGTAGTAAGAAATAGAACAGTATACAGCCATAAGATACTGTATAATCGTGGCGACCAAGATGGTAATAATATATCAATTGAGTTTTCATTTGAGTTCATTGTTGGAAGTTAAGATCAGACACTAGAGAAAAGGGGGTCAAACTGAGAACTGGACCGCATAAGGTCCGATGGAGCGTGTTCCTGAGGCTCAGCACGATACGCCATATTTACCTCAAATATGTACGTCTGTGATTCTTTGCGAAGATAAAGAATATAACTTAGACACAGCATATAGTAAATTTGATTACAGGTGTATCGAACAAGCGTGTATATTATTTTGAAATCATATAACTTTAGATATAATTTAGCATTAATAGACATGGCTTCTAGCGATGTTATAACTGATAGTTCAATTTTTCACATATTTGGAATCATCACCGTGTTAGCCCTGATATTCGAAGCCTTGAATAGATCGTACAAGTTTTGGGTCACACACTTCTTTGATTCGCCCGTGGATTTGGCACAATTTGGAAAGTGGGCTATTGTCACAGGATCAACGGATGGCATTGGAAAAGCAATAGCGCACGAGCTCGCAAAGCGGAAAATCAATATATTTCTCATCAGCAGAAGTTTGGAAAAATTAACAAAGGTAGCAGAAGAAATTGAACGCTCTTACAAAGTTGAAACAAAGATTTTAGTGTTTGATTTCACCAATTTTGATCATTTACCAGGCTCTGGTGATCCATATAGCGTAATATCAGACGCAATGAAGAATTTAGAAGTGGGAATTATGGTTAATAACGTTGGGATGCCTACTGGACGTATAGATGTATTTCATAAATCTCAAAAACCTGGCGAAGCCCTATCGAAATCAATATCTAATCAGATACACTGCAATGCATCATCCAGAGTTAAAATGATGGAACTTGTTCTTCCCAGTATGATCGCCCGAAAGATTGGTTTGATTATTAACATCTCTTCTATGTCGGCTGCTTTTGTCAGTCCTATTCTCGCGACTTATGCGGCAGCAAAGCGCTTTGATGATACGCTATCGGTTTCTCTTGCGCAGGAATACAGAAAACATGGCATCATTATCCAAAGTATTCGACCAGGATTTGTACTAACTAATATGACTGAACCACTAAGGTCAACCCCAGATTTAACTTTCCCCACGGCTACAAATTACGTCCATCATATGATGAGAACTATTGGAAAGACCAATTGGACGAACGGCTACTGGCCACACACCATTTTAGGATCGATAATTACGACTGCACCGGAGAGCATGACGTCACGCTTTATGTTCAAAAAGTCCATGCAGGCCGGGGACAAGTTGAGGTCATGAAACATAGAATTGAATCAGGCGTGTTGTAGCCTACATTTTGACATAATATGTATAACTATTTGCATATGTGGTTTTTATCAATAGTTTTGCTCCGTTTTCATGATTGCCTTGTAATTAAACTAATCCTCAGTGCTACTTTTTTGTCTTATTGGTACGCTGACAGTGAACTGATGAAAGCTTACAGCCAATCACGTCGGGTGAGAAATTTTTTTAAAAGTTACGAAGAACATATTCTGTTACGATACTTGTAAAATAAGCCCATTGGGGCAACATTTCGTTTTAGGAAAGCAATCAGGTTTTCGTTATTTTTCCATTCTGCTTAGCGGATTAAATAGGGCAATATAGGAGAATCAACCCCAAAAGCAATGATATGTACTATTGAAGAACGCGGTAATTGGTTGTATATCGACAAGCATAATGAAGCGATTCACACATGCGTTTTGAACCGCAGATTTTATTTATGCATTTCAAGAAAACTTAAGACTGTTTGGACATGTGGACAACATATATCGAATGTTATAACTGGACCTCTAAAGGGTTTGAATTAGTAATATTCCAATACTTTTGTTAAATAGAACAAAAGAAGGTACAACACACAGAAAAACATATTACAAACATAAATATTTAAAGCAATTAATCCATCGTTGCCACAGCAATATAATGCGTGATTCATCCAATGGTAGAGATCGAAGGGTTTGCGCAAACCCGATTTTGGAATGCCGTGATAATCAACGACCCCGATCTATAAGTTGGGCATAGAAATAAGGAGCTTGTTGTTAGAGAGTTCGATATATCCTTCCAGTGATGTATTTCCAACAAAGACCATTTATCCCAAAGTTGTTCAAATACCTCAGGCAAATTACCTCAAGGTAAATCGTTCACGGTAAAAAGTGCTTGATTTTTCTAATAACACATCGACATTATGCATATATGTATTTTATGTGAATGTGATGTTTAGATCATGGAACACGCTGCCGTCAACAAGCATCGCAGACATCTGGATGACCCTTACCGTATGCTCACTTGAGTGGTTACGATTTTTTGGTGGCTACTCGGGATGTGTGTGTACAACCACTCTGGTATACGAGTATGTCTGTATCTAGGACTGGGTATTTCAAGCCTAAATATAAAACGTTAATATGGAGACAATTTATAAATTAATATCGTCAATTGTGCTACAAATGCACCTTGACAGGATCGCATGGCGATAAATAGCATAAAATAAAACGAGAAACATTAGTAATGTGTATAGTTTCAGCGCAAAGATAAGCAAACATACTTGTTGTTATGATCATGATTCGTTCCTCTCATTTAGGCCTTAAATTCGTCAGTTTTGAGTTAGGAACAGGTTCGCCTCTTTAATGACACTTTTCTGATTTGATTTTGCTAAAAACATTCTCTTTTGTCCACAGCAAATGCCGGATTGCCGGTAATAAATTATAAGTATTTTCTCTCTTGAATTCTTTTTGCCAAAGGAGGAAAGTGCAAAACATGTAGGCCTAATGGATGAAGGAAAAAGGTGAACTTTTCTCTTCCATCTCTGCCTGATTTTCCTTTGAAATGCTAAACAGCCTTCATGCTCGCTAAACTCGGTTCAGCAGATAAACAAACTGCAAGTTACGTAACAATAGAGGCAGACACTATACGCAACAGAAAGTAAACGACTTAGAAAAGTAAATTGAATTTATTGGTTCATATACACAGCATTTGAAATAAAAAATAATAAAACATTTATAACAGATACAATATGTAAAATTTTCAATCCTATTTTAGTTATGTCTAACATAATTCTGTTAATTTTCGCGGCGTACTTAGCAACTTCCCTTGGGAACCGCTGCTACCCAAACTACAAGCTTACAATGTAGAAGAACAAAAAACACAACTACCATGCAGCTTGTAGTAAAAACTAGTATAAAAGGAAGCAGAGCACCATTTGGCACCGGGATGAATTTGAACAACTCAGAATCTTAGATACTCATGAACGTAACCTAGTGGAAGATGGACATTCGCTTTGCAGATTTTACCAACCTCACTGTCCCACGCTAGATATTATTTTTGCTAATCCCGCAGATCTAAATGTTGAAATTAAACATCAGTTCATCGACTTGCAAAATAATTTAGAATCCATGATGCAGAATCCATGCAGAGAATTTTGTTTGGTGAATTTAGCCTGAAATTTTTGATTTTTTCATTCATTTTATTAATTGTGGAAACTGGGTTTTCAGTAGGTCTGGATATGGTTAACCGGTCATTAACATACACACTATTTCTGCTGGTAGGTTTTAAGCTGCCAATTTCGGAGCTGATCGTAGATATTATTTCCTAAAAATGATGATATTTTCATATGGCGTTAATGTTGAATTTCATGAACTAATCTAAAGTTATGTCTAACATTTAGTAGTTGCAATACCTTTTGATAAGCCTAACTAATTTCACGTATAGCGTTCCTCATTTAGGCTCTCTCCTTAATTTTGTATCAAACCTTATATCTCTAGCTATAGTATAGTATGTTTTAGTCAATATTTTCACTGCTATATATACAAAGCATACCGTTTCCGTTCAGACGTAAACAAATGGACCAAGCACTGAACTGGCGTGGCAATTAGTTAATGATTATTACGTAATTAAACAGCTTCTACTCCTTCTAGTTAGATGAATTGCATCAATGTATTGCATCCCAATGCAATGACAACAAAAGGTTTGGGTAAATTCATTAGGTATTGACTTTTTCTTATATCAACTCAAATGCAAACGTTATTTGCTAATGAAATCTCAATTTTTGTCGCTTGGTTAATTCCGATATAGCTTGGACGAGCTCTAGTAATCGTCCATCAAAATGCCCGTACACTCGGGAGACTGTTAGTGAAAAATGTTACTGGTTTAGGCATCGGAGGATGCGAATGCACATGATTAATATAAAATTAAGCGCGAATAATTTTCTGGAAAAATTAAAATACTGATACCTACGAACAAAACACTACGTTCGTTTAAAAAGATGTATTTGCGGTATAACATACAGTCATCGCGAATTTTATATGACGTTTCATGAAAAATATGAAGACTTTTTTACTGAAGATATGGTAATATTGGTGTTAATTTATTACAAATCACATAAGAAAAATATTAACCGTTAATTATTTGATTATTCCAAAGTGAAGCGTGTGAAAGCCTTTTCACTTTAATACGCACGTAATTAATATAATAATTGATATAAATGAATAATTATGTTTACTTTGATTTCAAAAGCTTAGTTGCTATTATTTCTGAAAATGAAACAAAAATCGTTATAACTTAGAAAAGTGTCAGAATGCAAAAAATGATAACATTTTTGGCCCATCCTAAATATAATGTATACGAGAGATATAGACATATAAATGAAATTGAGTTCTACACTCCTGTCGGATACGCATGCTTGACCATGGCGATGTCATTTCCGTGGGAAACGTCCTATTGAATAGGATGGAGCAGCATGAGTATTTATTTCCCATGGCCTATTGATTATGCACATATACCCTTATTTTTTATATACTATCATCTTCAAGAGCTTTTCATTCTTCGTTATTCCTAAAATACTCATACCTATTGTTTATTTTATAGTGGGATTCTATATAAATAAATAAACATGTTTAAGATTACGTTTTTATGCGTCACCAATGTTTACATTGTTATGAAAAAGCGGACGGCTTTCACTTAATGCATATTGCAACGTGGTTTAAAAATAGGCGCGATTGAACAGTTGTTGGTTGTCGTCTCTAGATATTTGTATCTACAGAGTTAGTTAAATATGGTGTAGCCTACAGCAGCGGTTCCCAAAAGGTGCGCCGCTGCACGAGTTACTAAGTGCGACGCGAAAATCAACAGAATTGTGTTCAATATGGCTAAAATATGATTGGATATTTAACATTGTATTTAATATAAATGTTTCATAGTTTCTTATTTTAAATGTTGTGTGTATGAAACAATAAGTTCATTTTACCTTTCTATATCGTTTACTTTCTGTTACGTAATGTCTGCCTCTCGAAAAAAAATGAGACGTTCCAGCTGAAAACCAACGATAGGTGGATGGTAATATATGAGGCAGCGCGTAACACTAGCTAAGGATCTACGATTGAACAAATGAAAGACTTTCTATGAATAGTGAGTTAGGATTGAACAGTTAAGAAATATGCATAGGATGGAAAAAAAATTGGGAGCCACTCTTTTATATTTGTTGTGTAAGAAATAAGATTCATTAATCATGTGACTACAATGAGAGTTATTTCAATTACGCAGTATAAATATTCCTTCTTCTTCATAGTTTTCAACAGCGTTCGTTTTGATACGTGAAGTATTGAGTCTGCCAAACAGTCCTGCGATTGGCACAGTGGAATTTTGGCTTTATACGTTGCCCGGAATCAGTCGTGCTCTTCTATGTTTGACTCCGTTATCTGGTGAGTTACGATGTCCCCGCTTATGGGGAACAATAGACCGGGGTTCAACGATACATTCGCCACTCGGCACATTTTGACAATGTTTATCCATTGAGTACTTCGAGGCATAGAGATGCATTAGGTTATGGGTAATATTAGGTTATCGTTCGGCCCATGGGCCAATTGGAGATATATATATGTTTAGGGTCAATCATCACAGGTTAACCATCAATATCAACCTTCACGTTGATAATAAGAAAATTTAAGGTAATTTCGTGTCCAAAAATGTATTGTGTTTGATACATAATAAATAAATAAAATGGCCCACGACAGGGGTTTAACACAGAATAGAATAGAAGTCGCAAGTGTGCAATAATTCAAAGTTTTTTGCGTTTGTAAGTGGAAATTAATATGGCCCACACACTACCGGGAATGTATGCATTTGGCCCATGGCCACATGTAGCCTACATAGAGTTTGCCGATCTCTGCTGTATACGCACATCAGTATATATATAGATATCGTAGGTCGTAAGCTACCGTGGGTAGAAATTTAGGGGCCGGCGAAGTGAACACCGTAACCGTAGGATTTACATATATATTCATCATGGGGAGAGATAAGCCGATAGGACGGCTTGATCATGTGGTGAACCACGGCCTTCCCCCATGTCGAGTATGAGATTAGCCAATTATTTGTATCAGATGCACGGACTTGATGGTGGATGGACCCGTTACT